ATAATGAGTGTTTATCAATATGATCTTGTGAGTCAGTACAGAAATGAACTTAACTCTTAATGAAACATTAAGAATCATAACTCATAGAGATGTGTAGATGATATTTTTTCTCTGACCACGTAAGTCTCTTTAAATCCACCAGTCCTGTGTGAGCCACTTTCAAGTCCATGAATAACGAAGTTGGAGAAGTGTCCTGACAGAGAACCACTCCAGACAGCTCATGCAAGCATAAAGCAGCCACCTTCACCGTAAGGGGCAAGAGCACTCCCAAGCAGAGACGGAATACGGGGTCTCAGGCAGCGCAGCACTGCCCGTGAACCCGCAGGAGGCACACAGGAATAGGGGCTTCAGCCTGACCCGTGACCTTGACTGGACACCAGTAGAGGACGAGTCAGGCCACCCCAGACGCGGCCGCTGTCCCAGACGCTCACACCCACTCACTCCCACCTCTCCCTCCGTCCCCAGGGAGCTCAGCAAGCCCGGCAGGTAGCGAGCCCATCCCCTTCCGGAGCCCAGGAAGGTATCTCCCCGTGGCACGGGCCTCGAGCCCTTACCTTGACCGGTAGCGGCCATTTCGGCGAGCTCGTCTCGCGAGAACACTCGCAGGGTTTCAGTGCGGTGGCATGGGGAGTGGCGCGTCAGCTGCGTCGCGACTACCTGGCTTCCGGCACGTGGAGCAGATGTTTCCATCCCCAGAGCCTACAGCGAAAGAAGGCGGGCCTGTGCTCTGCGACTGCTCCCCGCCCCCTCAGACGCACGAGGCTTCCCTGCGTCTCAAAACTGCGCCAGGAGAGGCCCGACAGGCGCGCTGAGGCGCATGTGCAAAAGCCCTCCTCCTAGTCCGCAGAGTCGCCCTCTTCGGAACCGCCCCTCCCACAGCCCCTCTTCGGGTGCCAGAGCCGGGAGAACACCGCGAGACGTCGACTCTGCACGTAATGTCACTCTAACTTCCTTAGCCCAAATGGTCTATGCAATCTGCATTGCACGTAAGCGTTACCCTCACTTGGAATCCAGAATACACCTGTCTCTTAATTTTTGTTCCCATTTAGCAGATCCTCTGTTCGGACCCTTCCTGCTCTGTTCTTGCTGCTGTGTCCAAACTGGTCATTCTGAAAGATACTGCCTATCACATCGCTTCCACAAATGTAGTCAGTCTGATTGCTGTTCAGTCCACTGGATGAAGTCCATGAGTAAAGTCTCTGTGTTTTAAAAAATGTTTTTGCTATGAATACATCAATGAGCATACAAAGTTCAGTAATTGGATTTCTGGCCTCATTTCTCTCACCAAGTTCATACTTTTCCAATTACCATTCCTTCTTCATTTTGCATCCCAGTCACCTATAATTAATGTGCCATTTGAATGGCCTCCTTTGTGAAGTCTTTCCATGTCATTTGCCCATTTTGTAATTGAATCATCAGTGTTTTTCTTCTGGAGGCCCAGGAGTATTATGTAAACTTTTGTTATAAGACCCTTCTCCAAAATTATATTGCCGAATGTTTGTTCCCAGTTGGTAGGCTTTCTTTTCACCCTGGAAAAAGTGTGTGATGAGTACAGAGGTTCAATCTTTAGAAGGTCCCATTCATCAATTTTATCCTCTTCAGATTGTGCATTTCTGAGTGTTTTGGCCAGTTCCTTTATGCTGTAGGCAAAGCCTTCCTTCTAAGCTTGGTGCCAGTTTGTCTCTGATGAACTTTATGGTTTGGGGCTTTACTCCCATGTCTCTGATCCACCTTGAGTTGATTATTGTGTATGAGTTGAGATGTGGATCCTGTTTCAGCTTTCTGCAGGTTGTTGTTATGTTGCTGTCTAGTTGCCTGCGACTCCTAGCAACCCTATGTACAACAGCCCTAAACCCTTCTGTCCCTTGCCAATCTTACTGTCTCTGACACACCTATCCCTATAACCCCAGTCACTGGATCAATCCATCTCATCGAGGGTCTTCCTCTCCTACGCTGTCCCTCTACCCTCCCAAGCATGACTTCCTGCTCCAAGGACTGATTTCGCCTTGCAACATGTCCAAAGTATGTCAGATGGAGCCTCAGAATCCTTGCCTCCATGTAGTAGCCTGGTTTCAACCTCTCTAGGACAAACCTGTTTGCTCTCCTAGCAGCCCATGGTATACTCAATACTTTTCTCCAGCACCACAGCTCAAAGACATCAGCTCTCTATCATCCCTAGTCATTGTCCAGCTCTCTGATGCATAGCAAGTAATTGCAAAGACCATGGCCTGTATCAGGTGCAACTTAGTCTCCAGAATGACATCATTGCTCTTCAGTACTTTGGAGATTTCTCTGACAGCCAACTTTTCCAATGCAATTCGTCTTTTAAATTCCTGGCTGCTGGTACCAAGAATGTTGATTGTAGAGCCAACCAAACTGAAGCTGTCCACAATCTCAATCTTTTTACCATCTATCATGATGCTGCCAATCGGCCCAGTGGTGAGAATCTTTGTTCTGCAGGTAGCAGTCCAGTTTTGCTTGCTTTTGTTTTTGTTTCAAATTTTTCTAAATGATCTGTATTGTAAACATAGAAGTTATGCCCAGAAGTTACATCTGGCCACCACATGGTGGAAGTGCCAGACTGAGGCTCATCACCCACAACCTTGAGTGAGTCTAATACAGATGAACAAGAGAAATTGTTACAGGGAACTAACTACAGGGTAAACAGGAACCAGAGAGAAGCAATTGTCACTAAGTAGATAGGTGACTAGTCAAGCCTGCTATAACTCTTACTACTTGAGAGACATAGCTCCAAATTGTCTTCACAGTAATATCTAAGACAGTAAATAAGAAAATAACATTTTTATATGATTCAGTGACTGGGGTAATTGGGATGGGTGTGTCAGAGGCAGTGTGATTGGCACAGGATAGAGCAGGGTTTAGGGCTGTTGTCCATAGGATCGCTATGAGTCGCAAACAACTCGACGGCACATAACAACAACAACATGATAAACTGTTAGAAGTAGCAAGTGTAAAGTTGTACGTATTTGTAGCTTTTGAGCTTGGAAGATTTTTATATGGATTGGATGCTGCCTGATATAGGAACATAAACAAAACAAACTCTGGATACCTAAAACTGACTTCCAAAAAGAGTTTCCAAGGCTGTAAATCTTAATGGTAGCAGACTGCCACATTGTTTTCCTACAGAGCAGCTAGTAGTTTCAAACTGCCAACCTTTTGGTTAATAGTAGAGTGTGTGCTGCATCACCTGGGCTCCTAGAATTTACTTCCTTTAAAATTCAGAATAAATGGTGACAACAATAGTATTAAGAAAGAAAAAAAAAGGCAGTCCAGCAAATACTGTCTCAAAAGTACAAACTGCAGTTCATCTTCTCAAACTATTAAAAATATATAATCCAGGGTGGGTTTTCCCCCCCTCTTGATCTTGACAAGTGCTGCTTTCCAGATGTTGTTGTTGTTGTTGTTATGTGCCGTCGAGTCGCTTGCAACTCATAGCGACCCTATGTACAACAGCCCTAAACTCCGCTCTGTCCTGGGCCAATCGCACTGTCTCTGACACTCCCATCCCAATTATCCCAGTCACTGAATCAATCCACCTCATAGAGGGCCTTCCTCTCCTGCGCTGTCCTTCTCCAAGGACCTGTCTCTCCTCACAACATGTCCAAAGTATGTTAGACGGAGCCTCAGAATCCTTGCTTCCAAGGAGCCACCCGGTTTAACCCCTTCCAGGACAAATCTGTTTGTTTTCCTAGCAGTCCATGGTATTCTCAATACTCTTCTCCAGCACCACAGCTCAAAGGCATCAATTCTCCTTCTATCCTCCTTGGTCATTGTCCAACTCTCTAATGCATAACAAGTGATTGCGAAGACCATGGCCTGTATCAGACGCACCTTAGTCTCCAGAGAGACACCATTGCTCTTTGGTACTTTGGAGAGGTCCCTAACAGCAGAATTTCCCATGGCAATGCGCCTTTTAATTTCCTGGCTGCTGGTGCCAAGACTGTTGACTGTGGAGCCAAGCAAGCTAAAGCTGTGTATAATCTCAATCTCTTCACCGTCCATCCTGATGCTGCCAGTTGGTCCAGTGGTGAAAATCTTTGTCTTCTTGACATTGAGCCTCAATCTAGATACCTAAGAAAAATTTATCTCTTCTGCATTGAATCCATGTAGCAAACTAATGAAGTCATCTATGTCCATGGAATGGGCCCATTTATCACTAAAGCCTGTTTTCATTAGGATTTGCTGTATTTTATCTTCTATGCTGAAATGTTCTGGTTTTACAATGTTATAGATTAAACAGTGAATTCTGTAGTTTTTTCCTAGCAGTTGTTGCACAGCACTTTACTTAAATACAGCAGACAGTGTCTGTCTTGTTTTTCCTAACAAAGGTGATTCTTACGAGGACATCCCATTACTTAAAGTTGATTGGTGGTGGTGGTTTCTTAGGTTCTATTCTTACAACACTGGATTCTACCTTGGGTGATGGTCTGCAGTTATTCTTCCCAACTTTCATCAGATGGTCTACGTGCAGTATAATTTGTCCCCAGGTTTTGCAGCCAGTCTGAGAGTAAATTATCTTTGAAACATGAGGATAGCACATCTAAAGAAAGGTCGGTGCAACAAGAGCTTGAAGACAAAAGGAGAAGAGATCTGGTATGGCAGATTGGCCACACAAGCATCAAAGAATGGTAAATCGCTTTTCAACACATCACCCACCATTACTTGAAGTTCACTGGTTAGATGTGTGTCTGGAACTCTTGTGAAGTTCAGCTCCTAGTCTCGGATCAAATTCAAAAGCAAAGCAACAACCTTTTTTGCCTTTTCAAACAACTTTACAGTCATGTTGCCTATTCCATCAGTTGGTCTTAAGGCAGCCTTATCAATTATGCTGCTAACTATAAGAGGATTTTTCAAAATCTGCTGCCCAATTCTCTTGTTGAACTTAAGTCCTCCAGCACTCTTCAGCTCCTGGCATTGTTACTGCCACTTGTGACACCAGCCAGCTGCCTTGGACTTGACTTTCAGCATTTCTATAGGGCGAGGGCTCACAGACCCCAGCAAGTCCAATTTTGAGAGCACCATTTGTTGAAGAGGTTGTAATTTCCCCATTTGATAGGTATTATTTCCTTGTCGAATATCTGTTGACCATAGATAGATGGGTCCATTTCTGGGTTCTCAATTATGTTCCATTGGTCTGCGCACCTGTTATTGTACCAGTAACATGCTGTTTTGGTTACTACTGCTGTGTGGTAGGATCTGAAGTCAGGGAGTGCTATGCCTCCCACTTCTTTTTTGTTTATCAGAAGTGCTTTATTTATTCAGGGTCTCTTTCCTATCCAAATAAACTTGACAATTTCCTTTCAATCTCCTTGAAGAATGAATTTGGTGTCTGGATTGGGATTACATTGAACATGTAGATTGCTTTTGGTAGAATTGTCATTTTCACATTATTGAGTCTTCCTGTCCATGAACAGGGAACATTTTTCCCATTTATTTAAGATCTTTTATTATCTCTTGCAGAAATGTTCTGTGATTTTTCAAACTGCCTTTTAAACAATGAATGTAACCCCGTTCTTACTCTGCTTTTCATTCTTGTCAAAGTGGCCAAAGCCAGTCCATTTAATCTCAGTGATGCCTAGAATGTTGATGTTTGTGTGTTCCATTTCGTTTTTCACAACCTCTAGTTTTCCAACAGTCACTCTTCATCCCATCCATGTTCCAGTTATTAA